ACTCTCTGCACACCAGCGTAGGCCAAGAGCCTTTTCTACAGGCAGACTATCCCGTTCCAGATGTAGTTGTCTTGTTGAATTGGAACGTTTCTGTTCAGGAATGGACGATAGCACAGCACGACTTGTGCTTGTCCACTTTGAAAGCTCAAATCCTCCTTTAGAACACAATTCAGTAAGATCTTCTGCCAGCTTTACTGCAGTTTCTTCCATGGCAACAGATTTTAGACAATCATCCACATAAAAGTTATTATAGACAGTGTCAGTCACTTCTTTATGATAACATTCAATGTTGTCTGTAGCAGTTTGCCTCAGAGCATAATTGGCACAGCTTGGCGATGATACAGCTCCGAAGAGGTGAACTGTCATCCGGTATTCCATTGGGCTGACAGACGTGTCTCCTAATGGCCACCACAGAAAGCGCAGAAAGTCCAGATGCTTTTCTGACACTTTTACTTGATGGAACATGGCCTGGACATCTGTCATCAGAGCAATATTTTCTTGCCTGAATCTGGTTAGAACACCGAAGAGAGAGTTGGTAAGGTCCGGCCCCTGTAGAAGCTGGCCATTCAATGAAGAGCCTTTGTAGCTTGCTCCACAGTCAAAAACCACTCTCAAAGTCTTTTTCCTTGGGTGATAGACACCGTGATGTGGAAGATACCAGACTTTTCCTTCTTTGGGTTCCATCTGGTCAAGAGGTACTTTTTCTGCATAGCCTTTGTCGATAAGATCCATCATTAATGCTGCATATTCCTTTTTGTAGACTTTGTTCCTCTCAAACTTTCTTTTGAGGGTCTGAAGGCATTGTGCCATAACATACCGGTTGTTGGGCATGATAATGTCATCCTTTTTGAAGGGCAAGTCCAAACAATAATGTCCATCCAGCATACAAGCTGAATTTTCCATTATTTCCATAAATTTCTTGTCCTCGATTGACATTTCATGTTTTTCTTCCAGTGTTTTTTCATCAAAGTCTTGATTGTATTGAGATATCAACAGCTCCTCCAGTTTGGCAACAGAAATCCTGTTTGCGTTAACAGTTGTACAACCTTTCTGGGTAGTTACACTGCTTCGCAGGGGACCATTAATGACCCATCCAAGTGGGGTTCTGACAGCATATGGTCCATTGCCTTGACTGTTGATTATCTCCCATGGCTCCATGAGGTTTGATGCATTCATTCCAATCAAAAGCTCGACATCAGCATTCAGTTCCGGAATCCTGATGGTGCTGAGATAGTCCCATTTTTCAACATCTCTCTGAAGAGGAATGTTGTTCCGAGAGACTGGAATGGCTTCTTGTGTGTAAACTTCAGGAAGTTCTACAAAGCTGTTACTTTGTAGCCCCGAAATTTCCAGTCCAGTGGCACAACAGCTGCTCACCAACCTTTCTTGGCCCATAGTACGCAGCAAGATGTTAATCTTTGGGCCTTGCACGTTTAGTTTCTTCTTTAATTTGTTGGTAATGAAGGTTGCTGTGCTTCCAGGATCCTAGAAGGCATAAGTTTGAAACACTTGATCTCCTTTCTTAGATTTTATTTTGACGGGAACAATTGAAAGAGTACAGTCCTCTCCTCCATCAGTACAAACATCAGCCTTATGAGACACGAGGGCACTGCTGACAGGTGTTTCTTGGGCTTTAGCTTGTTCTTTGTCAGAATGTAGGATGGTAGGATGCTTCCGGTTGCATTTATCACAAGTGAGGCGATTTTTACATTCCTTACTCATGTGGCCAACCTTAAAACATCCAAAGCATATTCCCTTTCCTTTCAGAAATTCAATTTTATCCTTTTGAGGAATCCTGGTTAGCTTTGGACATTTCAATAAGGAATGAGATTGATCACAATATGGACAGGCTTCTGGAGCTGGACTTCTGGTAGCTACTGGCTGCACTTGTGGCTTTGGTAGCACAGATGGGGAAGATATAGCGCAGTCACTGGGTGCTATAGCTGTAACAAAGGTGCTTCCTTTGATGTTGGTCTTTATTGAGCCTTTGTTTCTTGGTACTTCCTTTGCTGCAAGACTTGGTCTTGTTTCAGAAATGTCTCCAAATAAAGGATGAGACAATATTTTTATTTGATGCTCAAGGAAGGTGACCATGTCAGTAAATGTTGCCCTGAAACCTCACCGTTCCTGTAGTTCACAGGCTGCGGTTCTCCATTTTTCACGTAGCTTGTAGGGCCCTTTCAGGATCACTTGCCTCATGTAGGATGGTAGATTAAGTTCTTCCATATAATGTATGTCAGACATAACATTATAGCATCCTCTTAAAAACAAAGCAAAGTCTTGCAAAGCTTGAATTTCTTCAGTTTTAATTGTTGGCCAACAAATGACTTTGTCCATATATGCTGTTGCTATTTTATGTTCATTGCCAAAGTGCTCCATTAGAAGACCTTTTGCCTTTTGGTAACCTTGCTGTGATGGCATATGCATGCAGCTCCTCACAAGCTCTCTTGGCTGTCCCCTGGTGTATTGTTCGAGAAAGTACAAACAGTCTTGATAGCTGCTGGTTTTTCCCTCCACACAATGTTCAAAGGCTTTAAAAAATGAAATACATTGTAGTGGATTACCATCAAAAACTGGAATTTCTCGCTGGGGCAACGTAGCTGATAATTGGTGCTGAACAAGCATTGCTGTGATTTCATTTTGCTTTTGCATAATAGCACAAATTGCATTGTTGTCCACAGGTGAAAATATTTGCACAGGGTTCTGCTGCTGGTTTTGGGAAGATTGTGGTTGTAATGATTCACTTTGAATGGACATCTTTAACTTTTGTTGCTTGAATTGAGTCGGTGCACTTGACTTGAGTGTGACAGTTTTAGGTCGAGCATCTGGTTCAGACACTAGGGGCGCTGTTGAGCTCAGCTGAAAGACGGCACCTTTTGGCACAAATTCCTTTGCTTGAGGATTAAACTCGGCTTGCCTTTGTTCTCTGAGTCCTTTGCTCACATAAGAGTTCATGCCGTTTGAGCAGGATCGCCTTCCCACATCACTTCCTTCCAAAACAGAGAGTTTTATTGATGCAGCAGCTATTTGTGCTTCCAACTCCATTTGTTCCTTTTGCTTTCTTAATTTCTCCGCTTCCAGTCTGTGTTTTTCCTCTTGCTCTTCCAGCTCGTGTCTCCTCTTCAGAGCAGCAGCTTTCTCAATCAATGCTGCTTTCTCTGCCATGACCAATTTACAAGCGGATGAAGTGCTTGATCCAGACGCACGGCTGCTTTTGCGCGACCGTTTGGATACATTTGACGCACTATCTTCAGGTTTAACACAGTCAAAATGTTCATCATATTCTTTCACCCCAACCTTCGCGTCGCGCTCATCATCAGCATTTTCATTTTCATTCAAAACTTCGTTTTCTTTTAACCAACTGCACACTTCATTCACGAACGCTTCATTTGCAGCACTTTTATCTTTAAACCATGCATTTTGTCTCTGTTGTTCGTCTTCGGGTAAAGAAAACTCCTTTAATAAAGTGTCATGAAGTGAAGATGCATTTTTACATAATGCACTGAACCCCTGAAGATGTTGTTTGACGGCAATAAAATTGGCAGATGATGAACAAAGGTCTTTTATTTTTGCCTTTATTTTATTGGCTTGTTTAAATAGATAAGACCTCTCCTTTTGCAGTTTTTCGATCTCAAAAGCCAAACCTTTAACAGAAAACTTCCTTTGTCTTTTTTCATTTTCATTGTCTCTAAAATTGGTTTCATCATTATCCAAATCCATTTCATTCATAAAACACCATTCAGCAAACACGGATGATTGTGGCGCTCTTCCTCGCGCTATTTTACGCACAGCTGCCACAAAGCACGAGTATTGACACAGTCACGTTTGTGTTTTTCAGACATCAGCACATGAATGAACAGTTTAATGAGTGGAAGCCATCAATATCCTTAGCAGTTCTTATGCAGGCAATCAGCTCTTGTCAGGCCGCAGCGGCCGCAGCGCATCAAAACTCCACTCCAGCGACTTTAACCCAAAAGGATGACTGCACTCACCGGAGATGTCTTGAATGTTTTGCTTGTGCCTCAAACCTTTTAGATTGCTTTGGAGTCCCAACAAAGGATCGATGTATGCTGACGTCTCAATCCAACCTCCAGGTAAACAGCGCTGCGGGTGTGGCACCTGCCAAACTTTTCCTGATGAGCTCCAGATGAAGCGACTTCCTCCAATTCCAGACAGGTCCAGGTTTTTACTTGTTGTAGTGACTATCAAGTCCCACTTTTAGTCACCCTCGGGTGCGGGTGGAGGCAATGACTCGCTTCAACAATATTGTCCAGGCAGAAAGCGGGTTTGGGTTTATTGTCCCATTTATTGAATATGTTGACAATCACAAGCTGGGTCCAGAATGGCTATTTCTTGTCCAGGTTTATGTAAATGATGAAAGTTATAACGGCAAATTAGATGTGGCATATGAAACCAAATGAAGCGGTAAAAACCGTGTGACCTCCCGTCACCCACAAAACGCCAGTGCACTGCCACCTCAACACCTTTATAGGCTCCGCAGTGCCACCAGTGGTCAAAGGAAATACAAACCATAGTGCAATAAACTGAAATGTACATAAAACATTATCAAAATAAACTTAGATCATAATCTAATCTAAACCAAAACAATAATGGCTCCTACAAAAGTTGTTGTGGTTTCTTAGGGGTATAGAAATAACGTCACTGGAATATCCTTGAGATATTTGGGTTGTATTATTATTTTAGAATTAACCTTTTGTGTCCCATCTTGTTCTCCTTATTTTTCACCTTATCTCTGTCAAGTTATGTCTCCTCCTCTTAACTAGTGCAGCTTTGAACCACTTAACTCATCCTCATTTATTTTCCCTTTTTTCTTCCTTGTATCTCATCTCCCTTTTAGCTCATCATCAGTCTAAAACTAGCACAATCATAAAGTATTTCAAGTACCGCTAGAGCTGTCAGCGTATTTCACTTTGGAGCAGCTGACATTCATAGACTCATGCTACAAGCCAGGCTGATAACAGAAGGATTAAATCACTTACTGCTTCTCTCAACTCCAAACTCTTTGCCACTTAGGATGTGATGTAGCAGGTTCTTCATGTCAAATGGGCTCAGGCTCATTAAGCTCTCCGATGCCTCCTCACCTACAAAGAAAACACTCTTTAGTTAGTTTCCTCTGTCTAGTTCCTCTAGTTGTGTGCGTTTCCTACCGGAGCAGTGCAGGCTCCGAGCCAGCTCTGTGGCCATCACTTGCATGATGAGTCCTATCCTGAGCCGGAGCATGTCTCCAAACAGAGCAGGCTGGGAGCGCACGTACATGGCTAGATAAACCATGATTTCCTTAATAGCAAACACAGACAGGTCACAGCAGGAAGAGCAGTGTCTGAGAGACGAGACGAGTTCAAACGTTTACATCTCTACCTGAGTGAGAACAGCTATGCTGATATCCTGGCCACTGGCTTCATATATTAGCGTGTTTAACTCCTCTGGAGGAAGAGGCCTGAAAACAAAAACAAGTAAAACAGAAAGTTTGGAAAAAAATAAATGAATAAACAGATCTTGTGCCATGAAAACTCCATACATTGTGATCACTCTTTCTCTTGGCTCAGGAGGCAGGCCCACAGTCAGCTGCTTGTGATGAGAAATCAGATCCGTACAGGCCTGAGATGGAGACAAAAATATGGATGGCAATTTTGAATTTTTCTATCATAAAATACAAAATATTCATGAGCTCAAGCCTCTCTTGTCATAAAAAGACTAAAACTACTGACCTCAGCAAGGACCTCCACTCTCTTGCGTAATATTCCAGAGATGTATCTGATGAGGCCCCATTCTTTACAGGCTCCAGCTTGTATGTACAGCTCCTCCAGAAGCGCATTCACAGTGACTCCACCCTGTCCATGAAAGGACAGCTCCACCACCCAATCAGCTCCTCTGTTCATTAGAGCAGCACCACAGGACAGGAAGTTAGAAAATAGGCGATAGGTTTAGTTATTAATGTGTTCGTTTGACGCATGGACGTAATTTTCACTTTAGAAGTGGGGGGGGACATGGGGGTGGGGGTGGGGGGTATCTTTACAGTATGTTCTAATGGGAAACAGGCTTCAACACAAACGGTTGTTTTCTGCTTGGTCCTAAAGCTCAACCAGTGTCAATTTAATATAAAGTAATATTGTTTTTGGATGGTAAAAAGCGCAGGGGTCAAAACTTGACTTTGGAAAAAGTGGGGGGGACATGTCCCCCCTGTCCCCCCCCCCCAAAATTACGTCCATGGTTTGACGGTTTCATCATACTTCAGAATGTATAAAATGTAGAGGATGTCGGCCTGGTCCTGCAGAGTGGGACACTCCTTCAGCTGCTCTACCAGAGCTGCAAAGTCTGTGTTGCCCTGAGGGTCTCGTGGCAGGTGCAGGTCTGAAACACTCAGGTGCTGGAGAGGAGAGGGAACCGAAGACCCAATGAGAACAGTGATGTCAGCTGCTGGTGTGACGTTCTGCTGCCTTTACCTTCGGCTGCTGCTTCACATTCGGAGAAGAAGGAGGCTGAAGAGCCTCAAGAAGGTTTAGAGATTTACGGTGCTTGTTCATGACCGGAGTCGCCGGTAGATACATGGAGGTCTCTGAAACACACATGATGAGATCAAATGTCAGATTTTGTTCCTACGTAGGATTTGATTTGCTGGATTTTTTGACTAAACTGAACAATTTTATTTAAATCTATTTTCCACACAACTTTTTTTCTCTATTTTGTTTTTTAAATTCTAAAATAAAACAACCAAATCCCAGGAAGCACGTATTAAAAATGCTTTTAAGGTTCTCTTTATGCACTTTTGGGCAAATGTTACATTTTTAATAACTCACTGGGTATTCTCAAGCCCTGAACCTGAGCCATGAAAGACAGAATGTCTCTCGTGGTGTGTTCAGGGCTGAAGACGTGGTGTTGTCCCCTCTGGATAGGAGGAAGATGACCCTTGGTGGTAGTGGTGCTGTGGAGGAGCTGTGTGAGGTACTGGTCAAACACATCCTTAGAGCCTTCTGTTGAAAAACGGAAAAGCTCTACCATTACTCCCAATTCAAATGTTGTTTCAACAAACACAGATTACAATTTACTCACTGTCTGGGAGAACAGAGTCGTCATCTTCTTCATCATCTTCTTCCACATCCTCAAATAAGCTGTCATCACTGTCTTTATCCAGAAAGGTGAGGCGGGTGTGGAAGGAGGTGGTCTGAACACTAGAGAGGTCTGACATCTGCACCCTGTGTTATCAGACCCAAAATGTACACACACTGAAATAGGACAGACATTTAAAACATGGATTATCTTATTCTAGGGAGGAACACTTACCTGGCTCCAGCAAAATAGCCATCCTGTAGTTTCCTGAGTGTCGACACGATACACGGGTCAACCGCCTCTCCATCTTCAACTGAACATTAAACAGAAACAAATGTTTGAAGCGCAGAGACAAAAATCTCACAAATAACAGTATGAACTACTAAATAATTAACACTTTTTGATGACAGTGAGTTCTGAGTATGGTCTCATTTTTGAGGCCATTCTCCACTTTCTACAAGAAAATCTAATGTTTACTATATTTTTAAAAGTGTCCAAAATAATTCTGGTTTTGGATGCGTTCCTGTCTGTACCCAGCATGCTGCGTGTGATGGGAAAAGTCAGTGTTGGTCGTCCTGTCATCCTCCAGCAGGAGGAGAGATAGGCCAGCTCTGTTCGTAACATCTCCACAATCATCTGATTGTCCAGGGCCAGATAGAAATGATGCTGATCCAGAAACTGAACAAAGGACAAAGTCAGCGTGTTACTTTGGAGTTTCTCTTCCTTTTCATTTTTGCTGAGGTGCGTGTGGGTGTTTTACCTGAGGAGTGAAAATGTAGGATCGATTTCTGATCTCGTAGAATTTGGACGTTCCCAGAACTCCGATGTGTCTGTAAGGCCTCCCACTCAGATTCAGTTTTTTACACTTTCCTGTAACAGCAGCACTGGGTGTTACTCCTGTTTTATGAACACAGACGCAACGTGATGAAAAGGTTTTGGGTACCTAGTCTAACGTAGATGTGGCTCAGGATGCGGGCGGGCATGACCCGGATGGGCAGAACTTCTGACACCGTTTGTACCACGATCCCAAGATCTTTTAAAAACTCCTGGATCTCCTTCGACTCTGCTAGAACACAAACTGACAAACAAATAAAGATGAATAAGCTTCATCCTTAAACGTGCCATCTATCCCTCCTAACAACCCATCACCATTAAGAACAGCAAGTTGGCTACGTCAGAGTCTGGGGTGATTATAATTCTAACCTGGCTGAAAAATGTAGATTTTAGACAAAGCTGTTAAAAAGCTGCTGTTTTTTTTTTTTTTCACACTAATCACCGACCTTGTACCACAACATCTGGTTTGAAGTGTGTGGAGAATCTCCTGTTGAGAGGATCGATCTCTCCTGTTGCTAAAAACCCCTAAAACAGGATTAAAGGAAAAGAGCAAATATGTTTGGAGCATCTATACATTAATAAACTCAGTTTCATCTGTCCTGCAGCAGCTTTTGTTGCATTTTGTTGCATTTTTGAAATTAACTGGAAACACTCGCCCAGTTTTGCAGTGTGTCTACTGTCCCTACCTCAGCCAGAAGACAGCCTAAAATGTAGAGTGACTGTCCCCACATGTGTGGAAGCTGTCCCATGGCCACTCTGTCCACTGTGTGAGGATTGATGTACTCCTCTTCAACCTGTAGGAGGAACATTTCTTTTAAAATCACATATAAATATAGTCTGATCTTTGTGTCACATGCCTGCAGATCTTATTACTTCCAAACAGGAAGAACTCAATAAAAACATGTCTTTCTCCAAATTAGTCTCGTATTTCTCTCCTTGTCTTCTTACATGAGTTTCAATGGCCGTTATTATGTTGTAAACAATATTGTGAGCAGTAGGGAGGTTACCTTGTCAAGAGGCACAGCATAAAGTTCAGGCAACAGTTTAATGCCGTTCTTTCCTCTGATCAAAATACCTTCCAGAGCCTCACGGTACTCCTGCACCTGTACAAAGAAACCAGTTATGTATCAACACTGCAACACCATAAATCATTACCAACGAATGCATTACTGTTGGGCTGCAGCAAAGATGAGATACACAGATGAAGAAATCACCAGAGAAGTGAAGGAGTTAGTTCTCACATTAAATACACCATAGGCTCTCTGACAGTTTAATGTGTTAAAAACAAACAAATGAATGAAAACATATCTAGTTGTTTATAGAAAAGTTTCTGTTAAAGCACATTTGTTGTTTTTTTTTACACATCCGGCTAGTTATGGCCTAAAATCAATATCACAATATATCAAGGAGTTCACCTCGATAACGATAAATGTACAATAACTACTTGTATGTAGAACAAAAGCTGTCCAATAGATGGGGCTGTCACTTGTTGAGTCATGATGTCATGTGACTCAAGGTGTTTGTTAAAGAGACAAGAATGATGCCAACCTACACACATCTTTTCATTTGTTTTATTATCGAATGTTTTGTGATGGGAACAACAGTGTTGGTGAGAGTCGGAAATTTTGATTATGATACATTTTCAATTTATTTTTAAAATGCTTGACCCAGCTTGACTCTCACTTTTTAAAGGGTTGTATTGAGCGTTAACCCACCAAATGGTTCCCGAGCGCAGCCACTGCTGCAGCTTACCGCTCATCACAGGGATGGGTCATATGCATAGATGTAATTTCACCAGTGTGTGATGACTAATGGGACTTTAACTTCAATAAAAAAAGATCTATGCACCTTCAGTGTATTGATTTTATTTTATGGTGCTTTTTTATAGATGATTATTTGATTTTTGGGTAAACTTTTACAATAACGGGTATTTTTATTAATGTTACATTGTACATTATTAAGCAATAATAATAAACTATTAAATAAAGTATTTGCAACTGCTTAATATTAATGCTAATATTAAGCAGTGCATTACTAAGTAGACACACACCCTGGCCCTTTGTCCTAATCTTAAGGACACTTAATAGTTAACAACTTCAGGAATGTTATTAAAGGATCCTTTGTTTATTAATGCTTTATAATGCACTAAGTAAAGGACCCTTATTGTTAAGTGGTGCCAGTTTTTGTTATTATTATCAGTGTGGACTCATTTTGACAAGAATTTATTTCACCCAAAACTGCCTCAACAATTTTAAAGAAAGTACTTTTTTTTTACTTTCCAGTAGAATAAAAATGGGAACTATATAAAGATAAAGTTTAGTAGTGTCCCAGCTACATTGTGTGTTCGGTTTCAGTACCTGCACGTGATCTCCAGCAAAGATCCCATCGAGTATGAGGTAAGTCCAGAACACGGGCCACTCACACTCGATGTTCTCAAACAGCTTGAGCTCTGCAGGATCATAGTGGAGTCGAGAAGGGTCCTAGAAACACAATCCAAGAGTCTTGAACTTTTCTGCTCAAATACTACAGCACTCGCCACAACAAGAAAAAAATCTAAACAACATATGTATCCTCCCTGAGTACTTCTACTTTTTTATCACATCGTATAGATTTCTAACATGCAGGAAAACGACACCTCTTTAGGGCAGTGATATCCATCCCTGATGAAGCGACAACAGCCGTAGCGACCCTGAAATTATACAGAAAAGTGTCAGTCTGCTGTTAAAGGACAAAACATGCATTAAAGTCCTAAAACATGTTCTGTTTTCTGTGCAGAGCTGCCAAAGTTCCTTGTGCTTAGACTTTACCTGAAGCTTGCTTATGATTTCTGACTTAGTGATAGCCACCAGCTCAGCATCCTCCACAGCAAAGGCTGGGAAAGAGATGACAGACAGAAGACCAGCATCTATCTCCTTGGAAGTTGAGGCTCTTGGTAACATGGAGCAAAGGATGGCCTGAAGGAAAACACTTAATCGTGAAGAGCAGATGATGCGGATGCTGCGATGGGTGAGGGTAAATACGGTACCTGACAGTGTTCCACTTCATCGGGTAAAACATGGATGACTGACTTTGGTCCTCCTTGAACCCCAAACAGATCCAGTTCATCGATGGCCTCCAGAGCTGCCTGCAAACATCAAAGCAGTACAGGACATCCAGACCATAGACCCTTTTACTGTTTGTAAACAATATGACGTCAGCGAGAATGCGCGCACAGCTTGGCAACAGAGAATGGCGTTGTGTCGGGCTTTATCAAGCTATGCTGCGGGGTTATCACTGGCAAATCTTGAATGTTATATTATTAAACTCACTTTAACGAATGGCAACAGACTCCCGGATCCCTGTGGCATTACGGAATGGGTGGAAGATGTAGGTGCGTGCCCAGATATCCAGTGGCCCGATATATATACGTTTTTAGTGGAGAGGCCCAGTAAGTACACACGTGAGAAGCTACGGGCATACAAATCGTTACATGCATACAACTATGTTGTCTGTGGCCACGTACAGAAAGTAAAATATCACGACATAGACTGAGTTTTGCGTCTTGAAGGCAGAAGTCCTTCCTAGCCAAAGACAAGGACACAAGACTGCTATGTACGAGGCTTGGGTCATAGTAAACAAACCAGAGAACTACGTACCTGCATGCAGGGTGAGTATAGCATAGGTTTCTTTTTTTAGCGTGCTCAGAGTACAATCGTGTTAATTTTTAGAGAAATACAGTTTATACTAATATGCAGTGGGAAAATACAGAAGAATTAGAATGAAATGTTAATTTCATTTGCAAACCAGCAAACGCAACTTACGTTATTTAATAGAACACATGTTAACCAGCTTTCTGGTGTAATCTTAGTACATAATTACCTTACCTGATATAAAATGGGCGCTACAAACTCGAGCATTTCGGATCGTGTTTTCAGTCCAGTTTTCATTGATTCCTTTTGATGGCCTGCAGCCACAGACGCCTCCGATTTTGTTGAAATGGATGCGCTCCCTTCGGAATTCCGTAAAGTTTCAGTCCATTGCTTGAAGAGAAGCGATTCTGGCATCCATACACGCAACAACCCGACATTTTTATGTGCTCAGAACTTCAAAATAAAGGGTTTAAAACGCTGTTTTAGTATCGAGTGTGAATGAGGAAGCCTTCACTCTCGTTGCCAGGCTGCGCGTGCAACTTTTGATGACGTAGGTAGTAAAAGGGTCTATTGGTCGGGTTATTATGAACACTGACAGTAACAAAAGGAATCAGCGGCAGATTTACCTTGGCCATTCCTACAGAGCTGCCATTAAGCTCAGGGATGCCCTGGTTGGTCTTGTCACCTCGCTCCCACATCCCATAATCCTGCATGAGTGAAAAGCAAATAACATCATATCTTCTGCAACATTTCCAATCTTTCTAATACTGTCAGGTTCATCATGCATAATTTAGACTGAAGCAGCAGAAACGACACGAGTCACACTTTTATATCCCACATGTTCTCACTCCTATCAAAACAATCTTTCATTAAACTTCATTTTAACAACCTCAAGACTGCAGTGCTTCATAAGATGATACAAGGTAAGCAGTAGCTGCAACAGGCTGTGTCATGGTTGAAGCATGGTCACAGCATTTAGGTTTAGTGTGAGGTTTAATGAGCTACAAATATAAATGTAAACATTTACAGGTTTTATTTGTGCTTGTTCAGCTGGCATCTAACATTTGTGAGCAGCAATCCACCACTTTTAATTCTTCACAATGTTCTAACTGAAATTAATACTCACTGCTACTTTGTAGGAGGCTTCTAAGTAGAAAACCAAGTTTTGGATAAAAGCCACTTCATCGAGGTTTGAGATAATGTGGAGACCTGAGTTACAACACGCAAATAATTAAATAACCAGTTAGTGGTGCATAGAAAAGTCCGTAAAACAACTAGACCATCACTCTGCATCATTACTTCACCTGAGGCTGTCATCTGTGCCAACATCAGCAGGTAAATGGAGGTAGCATCCACCTGCAGGTGGCCCCACTGGTCGTCCCTGACCACCGTAGCGCAGGTGGCAGTGTTATATTTGGCATGCAAGCTATCCTTTGTACTCTGGGTGTGTTTGAACTTCTCCACCTTATCCACCTGAAAACATGGGACAAAAACAGCGCTCTTGCCTCAGGTATCTAAAAAAAATCACAACATGCAGCAAAAGTTATGTAATATTAGTGTTTTTATTGCAATAGTGTTTCTGATGGATGAATTATTTATTTATACATGAACAAATCATCAAAACCCATTATACAATTGCAAACTGAAGAAAGTACAAAACCAAATACAACTATTTATATCTTTCATCTGATTAATCAGCTTATCAAATAACAGGTCCTGATTTAGAAGCTGAAGCCACATGATTGTATCTGGTCTAAATGATCTGAGGGCTTTTAAACTATTTTAAAGAGGACATGTGTTGAGGGTCTGACCTCATGAGGAAATTACTATGCAGTGATTTTCTCCAAAATGACTGTGCTTAAATTGCTCTGAAAAGCAAATAACCACATCAGCGCCAAGAAACTTCATTTCCCATGATGCTTTGCACACGGAAGCATTGGGATGATGTCACCGCCTAATACCAGAAACACGTTCTGCGCATGTGCGGGAGGCCGTGGAGCTTTTCCCGCGAACTAAGACCATAAATCTTCAGCAGAGACAAAGACACCTCGTTTTCTTTTGCCCAGGATACCTGGCGGTAAGGACACGCTTGTCGAACGCTCCGACAACTTGAGCACGCGGAAGCTCTAAATGCCCAAGTTGAGCCCACGGAACTGCTGGAAACTACACTCCAACTCCATCAGGACCTGACTGGGAACGAGCGGAGCTCCAGCCAGCTCTCAGAGACGCTGTAAGTTGTCAAACTCAGCACAAAAGAAACTTCGTTCTCTTTGTGTCCAGCCCGTGGAGAAACACTCGTGGAGGTAAACAACGGAGAAAGCATCAAACCGACGGATGACGCTGAAAACTGCGGAGAAACACGGAGAACCGTCAAATCAAAAGAGGGAGGGACGCCTCGCTCTTCTGGTGATCAGAAAACTCATTTTTCTCTCTCCTTTTCTCCTCCCGTTTCCTCTATAGTCCAGAATAAGCAATAAAACCACGCTATTGCTTAAAAAGTAGCTTCGTGTCTTCCTCTTTCGCTCCCAAAACACGTCCGCCGGGTCATTTTGAAAGAATAAACTGCTTATTTATCATTGTTTGAATATCTTTAAAGGTTTCGGCCATGGCCAGGCTGATAAACTAAAAGATATTAACTTGTGATTAATCTTTTGTGTTGTTTCATGATCCTTTGAAATGTTTTGAGTGATTTAAGGTTAAGTTACTACTGATTCTAAGTGCTTTGGAAGTTAAAGTGCATGTTGCCACTCACACTTTAGCCAGACAAAGGGGTCAGCCATCTTGCATACAGACTCCATTTTAGAAACACACACACATACATACACACAAAACACCTTGAACATTATTTTGAATATACATCCTTTTATTATATCACATGGTTATTATTCATCTATGCCACTGTTTATTCGTTTGACAAATTGTTAATTAAACGTTATAAAATTCAGATTTTCGTCTCCAGTAGCTTTGTTGTGTCGAAGAGAAGTCTCTGCTCCAAGGATTCTACGAACTTCAAGAAAGACTGATAAGAGTTTTGGATTCAATTTTTCCCCGGTTAAAGGGGAATGGTGCCCCGTATATCTAAGAATATCTTAATTAATTAATAAATCAGTAAATATTCCCATATTTACAGAATTTATTGAAGAATCCAAAAGTAAGTGAAAGCTTACGAATTGTTCGCTCCTAATAACCCCAACATTAATTGGTGCAGCCCGTGTGAGGCTTGGATACACAGAGATTTCTATCCGGCACAAACAAACAAATAAATCCAAAGAGCTTGAATTAAAAATAATCAGTTGTTCAGCCTTGAACCAGCAACAGAGTGGTGCTGATTTCGCTGAGCAGGAAGCTGCATCGAACTCTCACCAGTAACTCAGTGCTTCTTTAAAGGTGCAACGTGTAAATTAATTCTGGTTGACTTTTAGGTTAAAATTCAGTTTTTCCTTAAAGGTGCAACGTGTAATTAATTCTGGTTAACCTTTTAGGTTAAAATTCAGTTCTTCATTAAAGGTGCAGTATGTAAGTGATTCTGTCTAACCCTTTTAGGCTAAAATTAACTGCTAATTTAGCGACTTTAACTCACAGTGGCTATTGTAACTAACTGAAACCTTCACTCAAAGACTGATAACACCTTGTTTGCTAATATTCTGAAGGAATAACTAGCATATTTAACACTGCAAGTGTTGTAAGACGTTGCTACGGCAACGCACCAGCTTTTGCTAAAATACTGAAAGGAATAGTATTTTAGGCGTTAGTCACGGCATTCCGTGCAATCTTAAAACGCTAAAACCTGTGCGCACAAAGGTTAATTTAGTGTTTTTCTGCTACAAAGCTAGCAGTTGCTGCCCAAAAGGTGCAGCTTGAGCTATCTGCAGAAGCTCTACTAGGCTATTTTTGGTTCGGTTGTTAAAATGGAGGGACAGAGTAGTGAACTGACCAACTCCCAGCAACCAGGTGGCGCTGCGGCCCACGACTATGAACCTGGCCAACTTTCTGGACAAATATTGTCCAAACTGGTCGCGGTTGCTCGAGAACCCGACTACCCTTCTAGGGATTTCACTGAAGAACAGCGTAGCGTCGAGCTAGAAGCTGTAATTGATCAAATAGAAAACCCGGATGGTACAAAACCAATCCAGGTTCACTTAGCTAAGTTAGCCTTGATCCTCTATCAGAGAGAACTCCAACATGATCGAGAGATCATGAAGCTCCAGAGCATGCTAGCTGAAAGGCAGCAAAATGGAAGGCAGAAGGATGACGAGGAGGAAGACAGCACCGATTCTGGGGAAGATGGGGAGAAGACCCCGCCCCCCTCTGCTGATGACAACAGACACTGGGAAGGGGGGAAACACCATGACTCTCTGGACGGATGCACGCCGCAGGGGAGAGATGAAGCTTATCTGTCCCAACCTGCGGCCCCGTTCCCTACACACACTATAGGGCATTCAGGACCACCTAGGGGCCGAGGGCAGTTCGCCCTCGAACCCCAGATTGGACCACCACCCTCATCTTCACAGCCTTCTGAATCAGTGAGAAGTCGACCAGCTGAGCGGCACCTCTATTTAGAATGCTCCCCCAGTCCATGAAGGGTGCAAGGTGCCGATTGGGGTTATGCACCCCAAGCTGCACCTCCACCATCTACCCATCCTAGCTACTCCGGTACTTGGCATGCCGATAACCAGCTGCGGGACAAAGAATCATACGCCAGTCCGTACCCGGACAAAGTGTATTACGCAGAAGCCCCAGTTGAAAGACGCAGGCTGCACTACGCAGACGTGCCCCGGGAGGAGGACCTCCCAAGACACCCACGTGACGTGCCAGCAGCCCGCCACAACATGCCGGACCCCGATTTGGGCCCCAGGAGTCAACATTGGGAGCCCAGAGCACACCAGCGATATCCAGCGCCCTCTGAGACAGACCGTGGGTCAGAGTCAGAGGATGACGCGCCGTACCGCGAGTCAGGGCTCCGTGTACGTCAAATTGAATCGCTAGCTAAAGACATAGAACGCTTTGATCCTAACACCAATGAATCCAACGTCGACGATTATCTCAGGGAGATAGAACGTTGTCTGCTTGATCTTCCAGCACCCTCTTCAAGGGAAAAGCTCAAGCTAATTTGGAAAACCACATCTAGAACGGTGCACGGTTTCATGGAAACTCTACCATCTGACATTCGAGATCGGTACTCCTCGCTCTGCCGAGCGTTGAGAGATGAATACGCCACGTATGCAGACTCTGCGTCAGCTACAATGGGGGCCTTCTCCATCAAACACGGGAGAAACGAACCCCCCAGAGAGTATTATCGCCGACTCAAAAGTGCTTATTTCCAAGGTCGAAACGGCCCTGGGCTCGAGGAAGACCCTGCCTTCAGATCCCTGTTCATTCACAACCTGCACGAGTGTGTTCGATCCGAAGTATCAATGTATTGTCGGATGAAGAAACTGACAACTCAGGAGATTAGGAGATACGCTCAACAGGCTTGGGAAGCCGGCGGGAAGCCCCAAAAGCCTGACGCACATCACCGCGTCATGCACCTAGCTCCCGACGCCAAGCCGCGTTTGGAGCTTGAAGGCACAGAAGCTCCACCCACTACGCCAAAATCTGCTAAACCTAGACCTGCTAAACCGCGAAAGCAGTCCCAATCTCCTCAACAGGGGAAGGGGGTGCTGATTGGCCGCCTAGGTCTGGACAATCAGACAGGAAGTGGCCCAACCAAAACCAACGGCAGGCAGGTCGGAACAGTGGAAGGTTTAAGGAGCGCCGCCAACAGGTAAGTCCTGAACGCAAGTCCGCAGGTGAGTACTTGACCAAAGCCGACCTCCAGGAGATGTTTCAGCAGTTCCTAGCTAAACAGAAGGAACAGCTGAGATCTGCAGATGAGACCCCTGCACCAAAGTCTTCTTCTAAGAAGCCAGACCCAGAGCCAACGTCCGCATGACTAGGCGTGGCTCAACCCCCCAGCGTGGCCAGGACCTACCTAATCAGCTGGGGGAACACTACTGGTAGATCACAGGAGTCTCCTGAAATCTACCCCCCAGAGAAACCTGATACTAAATTTCTGAAGTTCCTTGGTGACTTAACAAACCATGATCATGCTCGCCGTTTGTACTGTAGCACCAAGGTAGGGGGATGCATACAGGTTGATGCTCTGCTGGATACCGGCTCAGAAATCACCCTGATGTGCTCCACACTGTTCCATCGCGTGTCTGACACCATGCGGTCGCTCGGGAAACCAGTCCAGGTAGAACCCTGTGAACTGAAAATCACCAGCTACACCCAGACCCGGGAGTGTATCACTCACCGGGCGTGGCTGGACATCACCTTCCAAGACATGACTCTGGTTCACCCGTTTTATGTCTGCCAGCTAGACACTGAACCACTTCTCATTGGTCAGGATCTGCTTGAACGTCTAGCTCCCCTCATCGACTGCCAGAAGGGTCAACTGTGGGCCCAGGTGGACACACCTAAGCCCTGGAACC